CTTCAGCAACTGAGACCATGTAGAGGAGCCCTTTGCATTCTTTCTTAGGCTCCAGAACAACTTTTAATTTAGTTTCCGCTTCTCTCTAAAATAAATTTGAAAGCAAAATGTCAAAACCCTAGTTCAAGAAGAGTCACCGATGGGTTCTTATACGAACCCAATCTTTAGACAAAATTGGGAGAAAGATGAACAATAATCAAAAGTTTAGGAGCAAAGAATACCTAATAAAACTGTACGCAATCTCGCAGTTCACGAGAGACGAATAACGTTTACGTTTGTTTCCGCTTCTCACTTATATAAATTTGAAAGCAAAATGTCAAAACCCTAGTTCAAGAACAGCCACGGATGGCTTCGTACAAATCCAATCTTTGGACAAAATTCGAAGAAAGATGAACAATGATCAAAAGTTTATGAGCGCAAAGAATACCTGAAACTGTACGTAATCACGCTATAGTATAATATAAATTTGTAAGGAAAACAAATTGAATATATATTGGTTTATAATTTGATGTAACGGTCCTTTTTTGTGTACCCATGCTTTGGTATTAGAGCTGGCAAAAAGATTGAGTTTTTTTTTTTTTTATAAATAAGTATAAATCAAGATTGAGTTACAAATCTAAATTAATTATTCAAAACCAAGTTATTTATTTATCTAAATGAATTATTTAAAATGAAAAAGTGAAAAAGAAATCAAATCTGTTGAGAAAGGAAAAAAAAACTGATCTTAAATCGAAAAGAAAATATTAAGAGCCTTTTAAATGGGAAGTTGGACAAAATTGTACTCTGTTTTAACTATTCTCTGTTTCTGTTTTTTGGTTTGGCAGTAGCTTGCATTGGAACTGTGAGACCACACACCGGTCCGCGTATGTTAAAGACTAAAGGAGAATGTAGAACCGATGAAGATGAGACACAAAGGGATTTTGTTACGGCTGCGGCGGTGCCCGTGCTGAACATATTCCATGTCTTGAGTGACATTACGAATGCTCACCCGTTAACTCGACCTCCTAGCGTAAACACAATCGCTCTCATTCTAAAAAATCCAATCTGAGAAAATCAGAAGAAAATGTAGAGCTTTTTTTATCCTCTCTTTCTTTGACTTTGATTGGTTTATACGGTTTTATATGACTTCATTATACATTATTGTGTTGATGGTTTAGCTTGACTTTGATTGGTTTATACGGTTTTAGTAATCCCTTATATATTAATTGGAGAGTGATTTGCTTATGTGTCTTCACCAAAATCACTCTCCCAAATTAAATGTGACATGACATTGTAAAAAATATGACATGACATTCTAACCCATTAATCCCTAAATAAATTAGCTCAAACTCATTAAAAAAATCAACCAACATAAATTATTAGCCCAATTAAACTTAATCTTAACTATACATAAGGGATCACGGCCACAATTGTTACAATATCAATTCAATTAGCCCAAACTCATTAAGAAAATAAGACCAACATCAATTATTAACCTAATTATCCAACACAATTAAACATAATCTTCACTATATATAAGGGATCACAACCAAATTTTTTTATATCAATTCAATTTGCTCTCAAACTATTTTTCTGATTTTCTTGTTTTTTTTAATTTTCTTAAAAATGGAATTTTCATCAAAGTAAAATGTAATTTTTTCCGTTTGATCAAAATGTC